TCATTTACAATGTAGCAAGAAATGAAATGGTAATGCATTCCACTTTTTTAAAAAGATATTTTGTTTATTTATTAGTTATTTAGCTATTTATTTATTTAGTTAGTTTTAGAGAGGGGAGAGGGGAAGGAAAAAGAGAAGGAGAGAAACACATACATGCAAGAGAAACATAAATTGGTTTCTTTGTGCACCATGCCCCAACTGAGATTCTGGCCTGTAACCCAGGTATGTGCCCTGACCAGGGATCGAACTGGTTACCCTTCAGCTTGTGGAATGACACCTAACCCCCTGAGCAACATCAGTCAGGGCAATACACACTTCTCTTAAAGTTGGTCATTAAAATAGTATAAAAATGACTGTATAAAATAATATAAAATCACTAATAATCTGGGATACAAATGGGAACATGAAGTGATTAAAATTATATTTGTTTTAGGTGGAGTGAAAGTAGAATCTAATGGAGAAATCAAGATTACAAATAGGTAACAAAATTTTCAGTTATTTTTTTACATATCACTTTCACACACTGAAAGTGGTTTTCAGTATGTACTTTCATTCCCTGCCTTAGACTGCTGCATTTTGACTCTTGTTTATTTAGTTAACATTTTCAAACTCTCAGCTCCTTGCTTTACAGCTCATATCACTACCGTAGTTGAAGGCCTGGTATGTGAAGAACAGTGGTCTGAAGACAGACACTGTTATTTACCATTTAAGGAATGAGAGTCTGCAAACTTGAGATCAGAGATGGGAGTTTGGCTAAGCAGGGATTATAAGGGTGTGTGGGGTTTGTGGGGTGTATGGCGTAGGTGGGTGTATAGGTGTGGATGTGGGGTCAAGAAATTTGAGAGGCGGATGTAGATGACATAGATAGTGCTAGAATTAACCATTCTCTCTATGTTCTCTCACAACTTTCTTTGGGTAAAACATGACCCAACAGGAATAGTATCAAATAAACATACATTTAATGAATAACCTCTCAAAGATATTCCATTTTACTTATCCAAGAATATGGACTTTTTGGCTTAAAACAAGAACTATATTTGTGTTTGTGGATATTCTGAATTATACATATTACAACATCAAAATTTTTAATCCTTTTAATACTCTTTAATCCTGTATTTGTCTCAGATTTGTAATGATAAATAGAATTTACCCTTTAAGCACGTTTTTTGTGCTTAAAATGAAAATAATAATTACTACCTCCTTCGACTTTCTAAGTATGGACTAAAATAGTTCTATGTGACGTCACCTAGCAAAATGTATAATATAAAATATCTGCTTAATAAACTCTAAAACCCTCTTATTGTCAAAACAATGTATATCTGACACCTTTGTAAAAACTATTTTATTCATAATAAGGTTTTTTGTTTTTTTTAATGGCGAAGACCGGATTAAATCAAAACTCAAAGTTTCAGTACAGGTTTTATTTTTTCCTTCATTGCAACAATTAAAATATAAATAGTCCTTCATCATTTCAAATTGTACCACAGGATATGTTTCTCTTTTTTGCCCATAAAGTTCAAGTAATCTGAATTATAACCTTTTTTTAAAATGTGTGTATCCAACACCATTTACTGAAGAGACTGCCTTTCCCCCATTGAGTTTTGTTCTGGTCTCTCTTTCCAAAATAATTTTTACAAAATATTAGTTTACTATATATGCTTGGGTTTATTTCTCAGTTTTTGTCACTGATCCATTGATCTATACATTTATTTTTATGCCAATACCATATGGTTTTAATTACTATGTCTTTATAGTATAGTTTTAAATCTGGCAATGTGATGCCTCTGGCTTTATTCTTCTTTCTCAGGATTGCTTTGGTTATTCAGGATCTTCTGTGATTTCATATGAATTTTAGGATTTTTTTCTATTTCTATAAAAATTACATTGCAATTATTTTTAAAAATGTATTGGGGTATCATTGATTAATAAGATTATATAGGTTTCAAGTTTACATTTCTATAATACATGATCTGTATATTGCATTTTGTACCCACAACTGAATCCAATGACACTGCAATTTTGATAGGGATTGGATCTATAGTTAGCTTTGGAGTCTATAGTGTGGACATTTTAATCATTAATTTTTCTGATCCATGAACATGGGATAACTTTTCATTTGTGTCTTCTTCAACTTCTTTCTTCAAAGTCTTGTGGTTTTCATTGTACAGATCTTTTACTGTCTTGGTTAAATTTATTCATATTATTTTTGATGTTAGCATGAATGAAATAATTTCCTTTTCATTTTTTATTGCTAATTTATAAAAATGCAACTGATTTCTCTATATTGATTTTGTATTTTAATTAAGTATATTTTATTGATTATGCTCTTATGATTGTCCCATTTTTCCCCTTTGTCTTCCTCTGCCTGGTACCCCGATTCACCCCAGCAACCCCCTCACCCTTAGTTCATGTCCATGGGTGGTGTATATAAGTTCTGTGGCTTCTCCATTTCCTATACTATTCTTAACACACTCTCTTCCCCTGGTCTATTTTTTACCTAGCAATTATGTTTCTTATTCCCTGTACCTTTTCCCCCATTCTCCTCTTTACCTCTCCCTGTTAATAACCTTCCATGTGATCTCCATTTTTATGATTCCATTCCTATTCCAGCTGTTTGCTTGGTTGTTTTGTTTGTTTGGTTCAGTTCTTGGTAGTTGTGAGTTTGTTGACATTTTACTGTTCATAGTTTTGATCTTTTTCTTAGATAAATCCCTATGACATTTCATATAATACAGGCTTAGTGATGATGAACTCCTTTAGCTTTACCTTTTCTGGGAAGCACTATATCTGCCTTTCCATTCTAAATGATGGCTTTGCTGGGTAGAGTAATCTTGGATGTAAATCCTTGTTTGTTTGTTTTTTTATCACTTTGAATACTTCTTGTCAGTCCCTTCTTGCCTGCAAGGTTTCTTTTGAGAAATCAGCTGATAGTCTTACAGGAACTCCTTTGTAGGTAACTCTCATCTTTTCTCTTGCTGATTTTAAGATTTTCTCTTTATCTTTAACTTATCCTGCAACTTTACTGAATTTATTGATTAGTTCCAACATTTTTTTTTGCTTCAGTCTTTAGGGTTTTCTATATATAAGATCATATCATCTGCAAATAATGACAATTTTATTTTCTGATTTGGATGCCTTATATGTCTTTTATTTCATTTACTTTCTCCCCATTATGGATGCCTTTTAGTCTATTATCTCATCTTATTGCTATAACTGGGGCTCCCAATACTATGTTGAATATATGTTGTGAGTGGGCACCTTTGTCTTTTCCTCAACTTAGAGGAAAAGCTTTAAAACCTTCATATATGTATGGATGTTACGTATGTTCCTTGACCTCAAGGAACATATTTCTTCTGTCCCTTATTTGTTGAGGGTTTTTGTTATGAAAGCATGTTGTATTTTGTCAAATTTTTTTTTCTGTATATATTGAGATATTCACAGAATTTTTATCGTTCAATGTGGTGTGTCACATATATTAATTTGCATATGTTGAACAATGCTGGTTCCCAGGGACAAGAATGTAAATAATTAAACAGAGAAAATGACAGGAGCAAGGTTCCTTGGTGTAGTAGTATGGGGTTTGCTTAGGAGATCAAAGGATTCATTTTTTATTTCATTTAGGGCTCCCAAGAGCCACTGAATAACTTGGCCCAGGTGTGGAAGATTCTTTAGCACTTGTAAAGTTCAACAATCCATATGAAATATAGACAAGGACCTGGGTATTCTGAGCATCACTGAAAGGCTGTATTTTTAAAAGTCAAAATGGCTAATATTTGGGAATACATATTTAATAGTACACAGATTTAGTCATGGTTATAAAGAGTAAAGACCGAAGAATAAGATAACCTGTGTTCTGAAGTATTGTGTAGCTCTGACTTTTCTGTCAATTTTATTATAAGCTGAGCTTTTCCTAAAATACAAATTGAATAGTATGATAATATTTCTATGTCATTAAAAAGCTAAAATCCCAACAAATTATATTGCATGAGTCTGAAAAATTAACTCAGTGTCATAAATATATTCAGGTATTTATCAAAAGTTTCAGGTGAATTAAACATGAATACTACACAATCTCTAATCTGAATGATGTTCAGTGTATTTATAGGATGTGGCTATACACACATAAATTTAAAATTAAACATGTCTCTTTAAGCTATGAAAAGTTATCTAAAGATTAAAAATCAAAAATTCAGCTTGAATATTAGGGAAGTCTTAGAATACATAAAATTTCATTAAAAAAGTGACAGGTAGAGAAGAGAAACAAATAGATAAGGCATTTTATATTTGGTCTCTGAATCATGATAAAGCTGAGGTTTAATGGAGAAAAGTTCATCAAAATAACAGAAAAAGTAAGACTGGAAGGCCATGTAAATATAAGTGAAAATGTCAGGAATTCGTATTTAATTTTATAGATTATCTGTCCACATGATTAAATTTTTTGTTGAAATTCAGTTCTTTATATATAAAGCACCCTATACAATATAAAAAAAAAACAATAAAAACACACCAAAAACTTGAAAAAGGTAAACATTTTTAAAAAGGAAAACAACACCAGAGCAGAGGATTTATTACTTCTCCTCAGCTTTCTCTTTGGTCTCTGCATCTTTGAACTGGTTGCTCTCCTCCCTCACTCAAAGAGTTTCTAGATTTTTAGCCACTTTCTCAGGACTATCATTTTTTGCCAGACCCTGCCTGGTGCAAACTTGGGACACACTCCCCATAGAAGAGGCCTCTGTTCTGCAATATGCCCTCAGAGTCACCCACATAAACATGCACCCCCACCTGAGACCTCAGTCTACTCAGTTATGTCTTGCCATTTGCTCTGGCAGCCATATCTGGCCTCGAGTAAATGGCAAACCATGAGGAACTCTCCAAGCCCATTCAGCCTCTGTAGGGCTCTAGTTGGACATCATCATTTGACCACCTGCCCAAGTGCTGCAAGCCTAGACCAGTGAGCATGCACTAGGGGCTGAGATGATCATCTCACTCCCTAAAAAGGATCCTGTGTGCCTGAATAGCTGCATCACGCCTGACAGGTCAGGGTAGTCATAGAACCCCAGATTGTTTTTGTGGCAAACAGAGAAAACACCCACCTCGGACTGCAGTTGGGTGCAGAGTGAGTCTGCATCAAGAAAAAATTTATACTGGAAAAGGTTATCATAAAAGGCTTATTATAATTATTTTTCTTCTTGGCATTGTAGGAACATTTGATTATTGCTATTATCATTATCATTAATACATTTTACATGGCAAGGGACAAATCTGCTTGTAAGCAGATATGACACTTGTGTGACTTATGACATATCCTTTTGATTTTTCTTCCTCTGAGCACATCTCAGGGTCAAAGGTAGACTCTATACGTATGTTTTCCCTATGAGCAATTGACATTTTATGAAGCTCTTTGTTGTATATCTAATTTGTTTATCATGTAACTTTATTATGTGTTTTTTTTCCTTGAGCAGAAACTTGTCAAAGAATATGGAATCTTCAAAGGCCAACAGATGTAACTCTCATAGATGAGAGAATCAAAGACAAACAGATTGGCTGACACTCTTCAGCAAAATTAACAAAGGAATCTGGTGAAAGAGAAAAGCAGGTTTATCTTTATAAAAAATGAAAGCGGCAGGTCCGTTAGCCCTGCTCCATTTGATTTAAACCATAAAATTAAATAAATTACAACACAAAACCATTATATAAGCTTCACTTGGTTTAGCAAAAATCGGTACATTGAGTTAAAAGAGCAGATGGTGACACTGTGATTGTGGACAGGACTCTCCAAACCTAACTGAGAATGCTTCAGGAGGGAAAAAACAGACAGGTGTAATATACAGCTACCAAAATTTACATTTCTCCCTAGACAGCCATCATGCACATCTGTTCTTAGATATCAAGGGAAAAAAAACATGATTTCTTTAGCTTTATTATTAGCAAGCTCATCAACTGCTTTGGAGATTGAGGTGGGATATTGTAAGAAATGTGTTTGAGTTTGATGGTCTCTTAATTTATGGCAACTTCAAACAAAAATAAAGCATAACATAATGAAAATTATAATATCTCAGAGACAGTCTCCACCATCAGAAATTTTAGGGAGTATAAAAACATGTAAGAACATATTTAAGGAAATATAAGAACTATTATGGTCAATAGTGACAATCTATAATTTGCATTATAAATTGCTCATGTGGTTCACAGAAAGCCTTTGCTCGGCATACTCATATTTTTAGCACTAAATTTGGTCATTATGTCTACAGAAAATTAAATGATTTTAATTGGAATGTGTCAAATAATTTTACTGCTGAGTAAACCAAGCCTCAAGTAGAACTAACGCTTTTCAAAGGTCATGTAGCTTATGAGAGAAAAATTGAATACTTAAAATATGTCAGTATCAGTTAGCAAGATTTTGCATGTTATTATCATAATTTCTGATTCTGCCTGGCTTAAAGAAAGATTGGAACAGCTATTATCCCATATTATAAAAAAAAATCTGAATTGTGTTCGCAGCCGCCGTCGCTCTCTAACGCCAGCGCCTCCTCCAGCTCGCCGAGCTCCAGCCGAAGAAGGAGGGTGAGTAAAGAGGTCTCTGTACCATGGCTCGTACAAAGATTGCCCGCAAGTCGACCGGTGGTAACGTACCTAGGAAGCAACTGGCTACCAAAGCCGCTCCCAAGAGTGCGCCCTCTACTGGAGGGGTGAAGAAACCTCATCGTTACAGGCCTGGTACTGTGGCACTTCGTGAAATTAGACGTTATCAGAAGTCCACTGAACTTCTGATTAGCAAACTTCCCTTTCAGCGTCTGGTGCGAGAAATTGCTCAGGACTTCAGAACAGATCTGCGCTTCCTGAGTGCAGCTATTGGTGCTTTGCAGGAGGCAAGTGAAGCCTATCTGGTTGGCCTTTTTGAAGACACCAACCTGTGTGCTATCCATGCCAAACGTGTAACAGTTATGCCAAAAGACGTCCAGCTAGCACGCCGCATACATGGGGAACGTGCTTAAGAATCCACTATGATGGGAAACATTTCATTCTTAAAAAAAAATTGTCTTCTTCGTATTATTGGTAGTTCTGAACGTTAGATATTTTTTTTCCATGGGGTCAAAAGGTACCTAAGTATATGATTACAAGTGGAAAATAGGGGACAGAAATCAGGTATTGGTAGTTTTTCCATTTTCATTTGTGTGTGAATTTTTTTTAATATAAATGCAGGGACATAAAGCATTAATGCAAGTCGAGATGTTTCAGTGAACAAGTTTCAAGCAGTTCGACTTTATACCACTATAAATAAACCTGTTAAATTTTTCTGGACAATGCCAGCATTTGGATTTTTTTAAAACAAGTAAATTTCTTATTGATGGCAACTAAATGGCGTTTGTAGCATTTTTATCGTACAGTAGATTCCATCCATTCACTATACTTTTCTGACTGAGTTGTCCTACATGCAAGTATGTTTTTAATGTTGTCTGTCTTCTGTGCTGCTCCGGTAAGTTTGCTATTAAAATACATTAAACTAAAAAAAAAATCTTTAGGGAGGGAGGGCAGAGAATGCAATGGTGGTTAATTCAGCAGCTCAACATTATCATCAAAGATCAAGATAATTTCCATGCCTTTCTTATGTCATCTTAATTGGGACAGTTTGGTCCTCAGGATGATTTCCCTCATTCTCACAAGATATTTAAACTTCGGGAAGCCTCTGTGGAAACTGGATGTCTTGGACCATCCAGTGAACTATAGAAAATGCTTTTTGGCTAGTACTAAAGCCATATCTTTTCATCCAGTTTGGCCAATTTAGTCACTGTATCTATCTTTGAAAAAATAAGAGTCAACAAAATACTAAGTAACATAATAATAATAAAGCATTCAATGTATATATATGTGCCAAATTCATATATATATATATTTCATATACATTTAACATATAGGTATACCTATGTACTCATGTGGAATGGAAACTATTTAGACAACAAATGGCATTAACTATATTCTCTAAAATCCTAGTATCCTACATCATATGATGTGTTTAAAAAATAGTCTTAATGGAAAAGATCTAGTGGTAATTATTTTGTTATTGTTGTGTTTTAATAAGAATAAAATATAAAATATTAAATTTGGTAAAGATCTTAAAGTTCATTTAGTCAAAACAACTATCGCATTCTTTATTTTAAAATCTATCACCTCACACTTGTCAGAATGTCTATAATCAATGAATCAACAAACAAGTGTTGGTGAAGATGTGGAGAAAAGAGAACCATCATGCATCCCTAATGGGAATGCAGATTGGTACAGCCACTGTGGAAAACAGTATGGAATTATCTAAAAAATTTAAAAATAGAACTTCTGAGAATATGTCCTAAGAAATCCCAAACACTAATTCAAAAGAATATATGTACCCCTATATCCACTGTAGCACTAATTAGAGTAATCAAGATTTGGAAGCAGCCCATCAGAGGGTAAAAAAGCTGTGGTACATTTACACAATAAAATGCTACTTGGCTGTAAAAAAAGAAAAAAGGAAATACTTTGTTTTGCAACAGAACAAATAGACATGGAGAGTATTATGCTAAGTGAAATAAACCAGGCAGAGAAAGACAAGTACAATGTGATTTTACTTATATGTGGAATCTAACAGACAAAATAAATTAACGAACAAACTATAAACAGACCATAGATAGAAGGAACAGAATGGCAGCTGTCAGAAGTTAGAGCAGTTGGGGCTCTGGATGAAAAAGATGAAGGGATTAAGCAAACAAATGAAGAAACAAACCAACAAACAGAGAGAGACAACAGTTGGGTGATTATCAGAAGGCAAGAGGAATGACAAAAGGGAAAAGAGGATAAAGAGAGGGTAAATGGTGATAAAGTGAGACTTATCTTGGGGTGGTGAGTATATAGTACAATATACAGATGATGTATTATAGAACTGTGCACCTGCAACCTATATAATTTTATTAACCATTGTCACACTAATAAATTCAATACACTTTTTAAAAAAATCTATCCCATTCTTCAGAATGAATAAGCGTAATTGAAACAGACTCAGACAGAGTAAACTAGTGATTGCCAGAATGCCGGAGGATTGGGGAGTTGGGAAGAGAGGTGAAGGCATTAAGTTGTACAAATTGGTAGTTACAAAATAGTCACGGGGATGTAAGTAAAACATAGAGAGTATAGTCAATAATATAGCAATAACTCTGTATGGTGCCAATTAGGTACTGGAAACACTAAGGGGAATACTATACAAGATATACAATTGTCTAACCACTAAGCTGTACACCTGAAACCAATACAAAGTAAAATTTAAAAAAGTGTAATGTGACAAAAACTTGTAATCTGGCAAGCCAATCTGTTATTTCAGTAAAAGCCTGTGAAGATATTGATGCAGTTTATATAACCACCAGCAGTAGTGCTTTTCTCCATTCTCTGGCAATAAAGTATTTAAGTGTTCCAATATTACTGTTCCTATTTCCAAAAGATATGAAAATGTGAAGCTGCATCATACTTTTCATCTTTATAAATCATTTATGCTATTTTTGCTTTAAGTTTGAGACTGATTCCCACAGGCATCTAAAAATATTAATTGAAGTATAATGATGAATTTTCATAAAGTTAATGCAAATTTTACATTCTAACATCCAGATTAAGAAAATAAAACATTAACATTGGCCCAAATACCAATAATTACATCAGTTTTGTAATTGAAACAATATTTCTCACAGTGTCATTAGTGGAACTCAAACTCCAAATATATTTTGTTTTATAAGTATTTTAAGTTAAAATTCAGCAAGGAACCTTATGCAAACCACGATGTTGGGTCCAAACAAAAAAGACTGTATTATGCAAATAATGAACATCTAATTTAGCAAACACTCTATTCTTTATTTGATAACTTTAGTCTGCAGAACATTAAGAATAGTGATGAACAATATATACACTAGTCTCTTAATTTAAAATGTTTGCTCTTTATGTCAAAATATTTAATATGCAAAGATTAGACATATACCCTCATATCACACTGAGTCTTATATTAGCAAGACTGATAACTGTAAAACATTAGTTTTTTCCCTGAGGCCCTCTGAGAAAATGGAGTGAGTCATTAATTCAGTTGGTAATGGATAGTTAACTTATTCTAAAT